TGGTTTGCCATGGGCTGCATACGGACTCCCACGGTAGCAGTTCATGTGATCGCGCTGGCATGTGGCTATTCCCCCGGGTTGTCCTCTTTGCTGTGCGCACCGATGGAGGAAGCCCTGGTGTGCCGCCGTCATGTCTGATCACCTAATAGCAGATCAGAATGCGACAGCGCAAATAGCCACGCCCCCCCCCCACGTTATCTGGCCCATGTGACCGGGGCCATACTACCATACGGCAATTTGGATTGTTCCAAAAGGGAAAGCCACACAGGCTACCAAGGACAGATAAAGAGAACTCCTCCAGCAGATGTTTTTCAGGGGGAGAAATCACTGCTTGCAATGGATATCGGTTCATTACAGAAAAAGGGAAAGTGAGCTTGCCTTTATTGGCAGAGCCTCATGCCCGGACTGAAAACTGACGCAGGCGGGAAATTCACAGCCAGCCGCAGCCTAGCTGTGGAAGTGCAAACGGGTAGGACGGGCAAGCCAAGATGCTGCTGCCATTTGCCGCTCAGTAGGGCAGCCACGTCGCAAAACTTGGTGACTGGATTCGGTCTTCTGCTATGAAGCCAGTAACACAACCAGCACCAAAGATCACGCATAAGGATGATCGGCAATGTTTATCCCTCTGGGAGGCCAGACACTCAAGCTGCAAGATGTGATTCTGCCCTCTCCTTTTGAGAAATGGTTTCAAGTTGCTTTCTAATGGGGAGCGGGCAGCCCAACTTTTTTTGCCTCTAGGAAGAAGCTCTCAGTGCAGCCAGGTTATGCTAGAGTAGGGGAGAACAGGACAGAGGTTTATGCACGGAGCTGGGGGCGGGGGGGGGGGAGGAATCATGCACACTAAACTTCTCTACACATTAACCAAAAGTTTACTTTCGGAGTGAACCTGAGAGTCGGTGCTGGTGGTGGGGAGTCTATATCTTTCCAGGGGGGGGGGGGGGGGGGGGAGGAATCATGCACACTAAACTTCTCTACACATTAACCAAAAGTTTACTTTCGGAGTGAACCTGAGAGTCGGTGCTGGTGGTGGGGAGTCTATATCTTTCCACATTTCTTACATCAGCGTACTGGGGGCTTGCTAGTGAGCTTGGCCACAGATCTGTGAACTACTGAAAGAACAAGAAGCCAAGGATCTTATTTCTGTTTGCCTTAAGAGAAGCAGGTCAAGATCTCTTGCTTTATATATAGCCCATAATACAGAAAACAAAGGGGAGGGGGAGAAGAGGTCAGGGCCCTCCGTGCACAACAACATTGCAGGAGCCACCAACCGCCCCTTCTCCTGAACCAGAGAACGATGGTGTCAACCAAAATGATGATCAGCAATACTAATCCCTTTGGGAGGCCAGGCACTTGTGCTGCAAGATGTGATTCTGCCCTCCCCTCTTGAGAAATGGTCTCAAGTTGCATCCTAATGGGGAGGGGGCAGCCCAACTTTTTTGCCCCTAGGAAGGAGCTTCAGCAGCGGAGAAGGCCCTCTTCTCCCTTCCCAAAAATATGCTACACCACCCCCGACTTGCAAAGTTACCGGGATAGCAGTTTTGCTTCTATAAGATTCACTGCATTTTGGCAGCAAAGGCACCGAACTGTCATTAGGTGGCAAACACCAGGCTCAGCAGCTTCAGGACACGCAAAACAGCCTCCGTTTTTCCAATTTAGGGAAGCAGGCTACACATGGAAATTTGAGAACCAGGGGGATCTCTTTAAGTTATTTGCATCCTGCTTCTCTTGCTGTCTAAAGCAGTTCATGGGAGCAAGCCACCCAAATTTACCAGACACGCTTTAAAACCATTAACTGCTATAAGAAAGCAGGGAAGGGAAGGGAGAACAGGCTAGATGCATAATGGCAGCAGCAGCATCCCACGGAGAAGTGCCTCTCCTCAGGAGTGAGGTTTCAAATAAATCTATCTGAGCAGAAGTTTCAGGACTAGATGGAACTCAAGGGCAGACAGGGTCTGCCAACATCACACCGCAAAAAGTGTACCTGGGTTATGGTCTCCAGAATCTGAAGAGTCCAAAAGGACCCTGGGCTATGCAGTGAAAGGCAGGAGAAGAGGACCATGCCACCCAGAACTGTCTGTACAGTAGCCCTGCTTTTGGGTGCCTCAAATATGAGGTGCACCAGGAGCATTATGGCCAGATAGAACGAGAACTACAGATGTGTGCTGACACAGACTAGGCAGGCAGATTAAGGGTCTGTCAATTAACCACCTGGTTTCTAACCAATTAAAAACACCCAACTGTTACCTTTCATCTAAACACCACACTTAATTTCACGAAAACTCTCTGTTCACAGATCAAGACAGGTAGCTGTGTTAGTCTGCCTGTAGCAGTGGAAAAGGGCGAGAGTCCAGCAGCGCCTTAAAGACTAACAACGTTTGTGGCAGGGCAGGAGCTTTCGAGAGTCACTGCTCACTTGTTCAGATACCGCTGTAGCAGTAGAAAAGAGCAAGAGCTCAGTAGCACCTTAAAGACTAACAAGATTTGTGGCAGGATATGCGCCGAAGAATAGATTCTTTTGAACTATGGTGCTGGAGAAGACTCTTGAGAGTCCCTTGGACTGCAAGAAGATCAAATCAGTCAATCCTAAAAGAAATCAACCCTGACTGTTCCCTGGAAGGCCAGATAATGAAACTGAAGCTCAAATACTTTGGCCGCCCAATGAGAAGGGAGCACTCACTGGAGAAGACCCTGATGCTGGGAAAGATTGAAGGTCAAAGAAGACGGGGACGGCAAAGGATGAGATGGTTAGACAGTGTCATAGATGCAACGAACATGAAACTGAGCAAACTTCAGAGGACGGCAGAAGACAGGAAGGCCTGGCGTGAACTGGTCCATGGGGCCGTGAAGAGTCGGACTCGATTGTGTGACTGAACAACAACAAAAATGCGCTTTCGTGAGTCACTGCTCACTTCTTCAGATGCCTGTTCGTAAGCAGCTGTCTGGCTCAAAAATGCAAACAAAAGTGACTTCAGATCCGTGGTTCTCAAACTCTACTGACAGTGAGCCTCTCCCAGATCATAAGCTGTTAAAAGTCACTCTAAGAGGAGGTAAAGATTGGATTCTTGCATTGCCTGGAGCTAAGGGAAACCAGGATCACCATGGCACCGAAATTGCTTTCAAGAACCACAAAAAAGGGGGTTCCAGTACAGTCCATGGACTCCAGCAACATAATGACAGCCGCCAAAGCATCTTGTGCAAAGCCAGCCTGCTCTAGCATGTCTTGTCTCACAGCTCCCTGTCCTGGTCCCTCACCAATCTTAGCGCCACCATAAAGCCCGTGAGACTCCCCAGCTCCAACTACTTTTTCTGCCTCTCCAGAGTAATACTTCTGTGTTCTTCCAAGCCCAAGGACAAATAGTTGTGGAAACTGCAGGGCTGGCTCTCTTGGCACAGATAGCCGGGCTCACGCTGCAATGCTTCCCTAGGCTGGAAAGAGAATGGCACAGGTATGGTGAATGCGCTTCCCACACTTAAGAAAGGACTAATGGATGTATTCTAGACAGGAAAGACCTGATATGGGCCACAGGTAGTCCAGCCCAGACCTACATCACACATTCCCCAACCGCAGCCCCCCACCCAAAGTCAACAGATGAGCTGGGGTTCTGAGCTACATCAGGAGCAAGATCTTAAGCTCGAAAAGCTGAAGGGCAACAGGAGGGAAGCACTGCTTTGTTGACCAGGCAAGGGCAGAGGGACAGGCCCCTGGAATTTATAACAGGTTCGGCCCATCCAGAGGCTTCATGCTGCCTGCCAACCACCGAGGCCGAAGTTGCACAACTGCATTCCCTGGAGGCCTGGGAATGCACACGTACGGTACAGGGCCTCAGTAACTCACTCACTGAAGTCTTCACCTTAGGCCAGAAGGTTCCTGGTTCCAGCCCCAGACTCTCCAAAAGAATCCAGTGTTCTGATGGGGGGGGGGAGCAGAACTGCCCAGAAGACTCCTGACCTCTGCCCAGGGATGTCTTTTACAACACATCCAACCACTTCATCATACAATCAGCCAGGACAGCTCTGGCTGAAAGTCACAGTTAAAAAGAGCCCCCTGAAATCAATTGCTGAATTGTACCAGTCGAATGAACGCTTCCAACTTCTGTCTTCTCATGTCATCTCAGGAGCCTCCCCGACAGATGTTAGAAGCTTTCTCTCTCTGTGCTGTTCCCAGCCCAAAAGCCACGAGGACGACAGGTCCAGAAAGAGGACCTGGGAAAGGAACTGGAGCCAAGGGCATGGCAATTAGTCCATTTCTATTAAATCTTGCTCCTGCCCAGCAGATGCCACAGAAGGTAACTGATGGAGGAAAATGCTGTCAAGTTGCAGCCAACTTCTAGTGACCCCTGCAGGGTTTACAAGGCAAGAGACTTCACAGGTCATTGCCTTCCTCTGTGTAGCAACTCTGGACTTCCTTGGTGGTCTCCCATCCAAGTACTAACCAGGACCAACCTGCTTAGCTTCTGAGATCTGAGGAGACCAGAGCTGAAAAACAGATGGCCAGGCACAACACCAGAAGAATACTCCCACAAGGCGGCATTAAATATTTGTGGCACACGGATAACCAGGCACCTGCAACATCTCGCAGCCCTGGTGACCTGAATGGGTATAATTTCTAAGCAAGAGAAAGCATTACAGGTTCTATTCCCCTCAATCAAATTCTTTCTGCATTCTTGTTGTGAAAAGTTTCCAGGGGGGCAATCCACCATTACTCCTCCATTTTACAGACTGGGGAAGTGATACCCGAATACCCAAGGTCACCCAGGACATTCACAGCTAAACACAACTAATAACAAAGGTTACCACAGCAAACCTGAATTTGCACGGACAGCACCACAAACAGAGGGCCACAGCCAAGGCTGGCTCTTCAGTGAGCAGAACTTTATGATGTAATGCTTGCAAAGAAGCTGTCTCAAATGTGGGCACAATTAGACTTTTAAGAGACCCCAACCAAGCCCTGTTTTTCCTGTGCGGACTCTGTGTCCTGCCCCCCCCCCCCAAATACTGACTTTTTAACATTTGCTTCCCCGTTGGGGATCCGACGCAGCTTCTTCTTCTTCAGGATTTTGACTGCTCTCCTACAGAGGGTTTCAGAGTCCAGCATCTCCTTGACCTTGCCATAGGATCCTTCACCAAGCAAGTCCCCCATCAGGTATTTCCCTATCAGCTTGGCTCGTTTCCGGCGGGGCTGATAGATCACTTCCGTCGAGTCAATGCGGTGGATGAAAGTGTCCATCCCCACTGACATCAGTTCACTCTCAAACATGCCCAACTGCTGGGGCTCCTCCAGATCCATCCTGGAACCAACTAGGCAAGCCTGTCGCTTCCCCCACACGCAATCACCACCTCCAACAAGTGTGCACCAAAGACTTGTAAATCCAGTTTTTGATTTTGTTTTTTTCAAGATGCTCCCTTTAATCCAAATTATTTGGGGATGAGAGGAGAACAAGGACCAGCAGAGACAAGTGGGAGTTTTCCAGAAGATTGTACGAACGTTTAATTTAAAATGTAAAATAAAAGCCTATCCGATGTTTCCGTTAACTCAAGCCCATTCACTCAACCCTACAGTGCCTCTTTTAAAGGGGAGGGGAGACAGGAGAGTCACCTAAGCTGCTTTCAACTTCCTGGTCTTCTCCCACTGCTCCAAGTCTTTCAGACCAGCTTAAGTTCTCCTTAGCAAGTCCAAACTTTTTGGCTTCCTCAAGCTCTTAAGTCATCTTTAAAAGACTTCCAAGGTTTGAAATCAAAAAAACATTTGGGATCTCTTTAGGGACTTTCCATTACTAGCAGGTCACAGCGGATCCCAATTCCAATCTGTGAACGGCAGGATCCAGGCCCCTCTCTGCCACTCTAACCACCCAGGTATGACTTCCGTCACAAGTTCTCTCAGCCGTTGGGAAGCTGGAACCAAGTCTCTTTGAAGGAATTTTCAATACTGATTTTAGCTGCTTCTCTTTCACCTTTCACAAAGGTTCGAGGCCTGCCGTGTCTAGTAAGCACTTCCAGGGGCATCCTTCAACCACCTGGGGTCTACCTGACACATGATGTGTCACCCCACTGCTTCAGGTATCAAGGCAGGCAGGCAGGCAATGCAAACCCTACTTGAGCCTCCCACAACCAAACACCAGAAATCGGGACAGGCTCAAGCAAGCTTCTCTCAAGGCACTCTTAAATGACTTACACCAATCCCCAAAAGTACCTAACTACCTTGAAAGAGTCTCAGACTACCAGTCTTGAAAAAAATCTTGTCTTTCAGCAACTCCAGGTATCTCTAGAAGAGGTATCGCCCAATAGGCCTGGCTAATCAAAGTAAAGCCCGTTTCTAAACACACCCCTCCGCATATAACCCCTTACTACTTCAACAGAGGAAGACAACACCGTGTTCCAAAATACACAAAGTCAACGCAAAATCCTTCTTAGCAAAAGAGCAGGAAAGAATTTAAGAAACCGGGCTCTTTCTTATACAGGCAACAATGCCCAACCAGAAGGAAAAATCAGGGCAGAAGAACTGACGCTCTCTTTCCATCTCGGCCCCCTCCCCTTTCTGAATCACCAGCTTCCCCCCCCCTCAGCATCCACAAAAATAAAAGACTGAGTTGAGCTCCCTCTCCCCAATATTATGAGGAGGAGGAGGAGGAGGAGGAGGAGGCAAACTCACCACCTAGCAGGAGCCTCCCACACTTCAGTTCCACAAGGGATGCCCTTACCACTCGATGGCATCATTTGCGGGGGAGGGAGCTGTCCCTTTCTCTACTATTTGGGATGGTGCGGACAATCTCAGTGATACTGAAAAGGCACCTGTTTGCCAAGCACACCTGCAAAAACAAGGGTGAAAGTGCCAGCCTCTCCCCCACCAAAGAGAAATGAGATCTTTAACAACTAGAAGGGGCTGAAACAGTGAGGGTGGTTGAAGGGGGAGGATGACAGCTCTTTTGATCAAATGGAAGGACAGCAGAAGTACACAGGGGGCAGGAGGAAGGAAAACAGGGCAGAGGAATGACCTCTCCTCCTCACTGAGCCACTGACTCTGATGCCCACTCAAAAGGTGGGGGGCTCAGTGAACAAGAGCCCTTAATGTCCCCTTAGCTGGATTCTGCCACCCAAGTCCTACCCCAAGCAGCCAACAGACACCCCCCCCCCTTAAACACCGAACCTCACACAGAAGCAGCCCGCTTCAAATGCCTATTGAGGCCCCAATCTTCTGACCTAACCGTCCGTCCCCCAGAAACGGCGCTAATAAATGGAAGTTATGCCTCCCCCTCAACACATGCTAAAAAGTACTGTCCCCCTCTCCAGGTTCAGAAATAAATATGCCCCCCTGCTGCTTATCCTTGCCTCACCTACACATTACTCCCCCCACCCCCTGTTTTAACGGGGAGGCCCAAGCCCCGGGATGAGGCGAGGGTGCTGCGGCGGCGGCTCCTTCCTTGGGGCCCTCCCCGCGGGGCTTGGCGGGGGGCTGAGGCGGGCGACGATCCTGGGGGTCCCCCGAGGCGGCCTGCTCGCCTGGACGCCCTCCCTCCTGCTACTACGTCAAGCCGCCTCGCCCTCTCCTTGCCTTCCTGCCGCCGCAGCTAACACGCCGCCGCCATTTTGTTTACCTCCACCCCCCCCTTTTGCCCTCCCTCACTGACGCTTGGCTAGCTCCGCCCCCTCTCCCGGGGCGCATGCGCACGATCCTACGGGCAAACAAGCGCCCCGGTCGTGTTTGGGTATTTTTTTGAAACTTGTTGTTGTTCCACACACACACCCGCCCGCAACCGCCGCCGCCTTTCCCTTTCCTTCTAACTCCGCCTCCTTGGAGATCTCGGGTTGCGATTGGCTCCAGAGGCGTCTCTTTGGTTATCCTTATAGGATATTTTAACTCGAGCTGAACTACTCGGAGAGAGGAGCGGCCGATAGGGAGGGAGCTGGAATGAAGGGAGGTGATTGGATGGGAGAGGGGAAAAGGGAGGGGCCTAAATGAGGGGAGAGGCGTGGGGCGTAGAGGTCATGGGGTGAGGGAATTAAGGGGGGAGGTGTTGCCATGGTGACGTTTAAGGGAAGGGAGGCGCTGGCCCAGTGCTCGGAGATACTTCAGTGAGATTTTTTTTTATAAATGTGTATATTTATTTCTCTCTCTTTTTTTAAAAAAATTGTCTATTAAGAATTAAATTATTTTTAAACGAGGGAAATAAATTACAACCTGTGAAACCATTAGAAATCAAGTTCAAAAATACAAAAATGGAATAGATGTAATAATTATAATACATATTATAATTGTAATGCATACACACGCACATTTATTTATATAAAAATTGGCATTCTTCCAAATATATATATAATTATTTATATGAGCCTAAAATTATAGTAATTTCTATAAAATGTATATTTTTTCAGAATATATTTAAGAATAAAATGCATCTATGTGTATTTGCTTTTTATTCCTATAGTGCTATTAATGTAGATGACATATAAAAGGTGTATTTTTGCACCATGACTCATAAACATTACTACTACTACTACTACTACTACTACTACTACTACTACTTCAATTTATACCCTGCCCTATCCCACAAGTGGGCTCAGGGCAGCTTATAACATGCAGTCCGTAAAACAATAAAACCGTAAAAGCAATAAAACAGTCGATGGCACCATAAACAATATCATCAAACCCCATGCCTCATATCAGGTGAATATAGGTGCTCCAGTACCCGATAATATTATCTGTCTGCAGGCCCATAAACGGGGGAGGCCAGAATGGTTGACCGTCCACTGACTCAATCAAAAGCCTGACGAAACAGCTCCGTTTTACAGGCCCTGTGGAACTGTAATTTAAACATTAAAAGAAAACCAATATGAAATCCAAAATCAATTAGGACAATATATTTATTACGATGCTGGTGCATGTGTGATTTGTCAGTTTGTAGCAAGGATTTGTGTCCAACCTCTTTGCAAAATGGTGACCACAAGGCAGCAAAGGAAGCTATATCACTGAAATAAAACAAGTAAACTGTGAAGCAAAGAAATAAATAAGGTCACTCACCAGAACATGTCCTCTTTTTAGAGGATGTGTCTTTTTTGGTGTGCATTTTCTTTCGGACTCTTTTAAAAAATGGATGAAAATTAGGGCTGCCAGGTCTTACCTTGACACCGGCGCGCGCGGGGGGGTGTTCCTTAAACAATTGACCACCCCCTGCAACGCCCCCCCCCGCCGGGCGCATTGCTGCCAACCAGGTGCTTTGGGGGTGGGGTTCCCCCACCAGCTGAATCCGGGCTGGCGAATCTGGGGGCCGAAAGCAGGCAAACCCCTGCTCCCCGTCAGGGGAATGGCAGCCCTAATGAAAATGTCCTCTTTTGGGGTAGGAAGATTAGGAATATTCCTAATTAGTACCAATTATCACATCTTAAATAACGGGGGAATTTAAAATGAGATTAGTCAGTCGGGAAATACGTCCTCTTTTTTTGCTTTTCAAAATACGGTAACCCTAAAATGAAGCAAGGAACACCAGCCATGAGTATCAGTCATATGCTACAGGAGGAAGGAGTAGAGATTACGCCAAAACTACCTAAAAACCAGGGTGGGCAAATAGGTTTTAATCTGCCACTTGAAAAAAAATGTTCTACAGGCAAAGCATCACAACAGAAATGGTCCTGTTTTTAATTAGGCTATTCATAAATAGACACCTGACCCCCATTGTATCAACTTTTTTTAAAAAAAGAGATAAATTACAATGTGTCAAAAACAATCCTACAAAAATGTAGCAAGCCTGTATATATTTCTGCCAACTGAGGTCAACACTCCATGCATCTGATAGAGTGGGCCCCGATCCAAAAGCTTTTTTCCTCCATAAAATTTATTGGTCTTCAAAATCTCTCATTTACAATCTGCAAGTATATAATCACTTACTTTCTCTCTCCCTATTATATATGTATACATTCAACTCTTTAAGTAAGTGTCAGAATTTTAAATAATACAAAGATATATATGTGCTGAATAATGCACTTTCAATGCACTTCCGCAATCATTTGCAAGTGGATTTTGCCATTTCACGCAGTAAAACCCTGTTGCTAAGTGCATTGTATTGGACTGAAAGTGCATTATTCAATGTTTGTGAAAGTGCTGTGCACTCTCTCCCCCCATTATGTTGCTGCAACTAATAGGATGGGGCAGACACTAAAAAAAATAGAGTTATAAGAATTAACAAGCCCCATTGATTTCTATGGGAGATGTTCCCATGTAAATGTGCAAAGGACTGTGAGTCACACTCATTCACATCCAAATTTTGAAGGAACTTCAGTTATCCTAGGTACTACAGGGGAAAGGCCTTTCATGCAAAATTCAAAAGACAATACCATAGGGTTATCTATTTTATTTTATAAGTTCACATCCTGCTGTTTCTGCCTCCCAAAACAGAAGAAACCCCTTCAGCGAAGAAGCAACCAAACCACCCAGGCAACAGAGTGCATGTTCCTATTTGATGCACATCAAAATACCTATGAAGGTTTGGGATCCATTGTGCAGCACTGACAGACCCAAGACTGGTGCCAGCATCCGGTAATGGTGACCCATAAGTATTTGACAGACTCATTGAATTCAGGAGATCAGGGAGCGTGGATTATGGCTTGTGGAAATAAGTTAAGGCTGCATATTCTCAAAGAGTACTTGCTGTGATTTTTGCCTTGCAAAGCTTAGTTTATACAGGTAGTTTCTCCAGTGATGCGCTGGTGGGCAGGCCTGCAGAAGCCTGGAGCTGTTCCAGACCATGAACACATGAAGCTGCTTTGTACTGAATCAGACCCTCAGTCCATCACAGTAAGTATTTACTCAGGCTGACAGCGGCTCTCCAGGGTCTCAGGCTGAGGTCTTTCACATCACCTGATCTTTTTAAACTGGAGATGCTGGGGATTGAACCTGAGACCTTCTGCCTGCCAAGCAGTTGTTCTGCCACTGAGCCACAGCCCCTCCACTGGTGGAAACCCATGTTTGTAACTTATTGTCTTATAAGCATCACCACCTGAGTGTCCACCCATCTCCATGACCTATTGGTATTTTGGTACTCTTAAGCAGGGCTATTTTTGGGCAGGAACGCACAGGAACGGAGTTCCGGCTGGCTCCCGAGTTGGCCACGCCCAGCAGGAACCTATTAGCATAATAGGCCACACCCAACAGCAGAAACTCATTAGGATTGGCTACAGTAGGCGTGTGTGGCCTAACATGCAAAGGAGTCCCTGCTACAAAAAAAGGCCCTGGGTTTTGACAACAAACAAGGTAAACAGAATAAGAAGCAAAAGGTGGGTGTGGCTGGATGACCACACTTCTGGCAACACAGGGCTGCAGCCTAATATGCTAATGAGCTTTGGTGTCAGGGTGTGGCCTATTATGCTAATGAGTTCCTGCTGGGCTTTTTCTACAAAAAAAGCCCTGCTCTTAGGTCATATTAATTTGCTCTGTGATAACGTATCCTCCACTGATTTAAAAGCCAAGGTAGTGTCTGTTCTTTCACTCAGGCATGCACACAAAAATTGACTTATATGGGATAAGAGGACAGGTCAGGAAGCAGATAACAGGAATAAAGGAGTCATTATTTCAACTGGAGTAGCCAACTTCCAGGGGGAGCCTGGAGATTTCCCAGAATGACAACTGATGTCTAGACGACAGAGATCAGCTCCCCTGGAGAAAATGGCTACTTTGGAGGGTGGATTCTACAACATTATACTCTGCTGAGATCCCTCCCCTCCTCAAACCCCCCCCCCCGGGTTCCACCCCCAAAATCTCCAGATATTTCCCAACCCAGAGCTGGCATCCCTACGCCCTCCCCAGGATCCACCCCCCATATCTTCAGGAATTTCCCAACCTGGAGTTGGCAGCCCTGCTTGCAATGGAAGGAAGCAGCCAGAGTCCCACAGAGATGGGTATTTATTGGGCCAGTGCTTTTAAAATGTTATCCCCCAAAAATCCGGAATTGGAAGGTGGGCAGTGTAGTTTGGAGATGATACCAAATCATTCAGGATGGTGCTGCAAACCAAGGCCGATTGCAAAGAGATCCAATAGGATCTCTGTAAATCGGGTGAGTGGGCAACAACATAGCAAATTATGTTCAGTTTAGCAAATCCAGTGGTACCTGTAAGACCAACAAAGTTTTATTCAAGGTATGAGCTTACATGTACATGCACACGAATAGGAAAAAGTGTGCATGCCCACGAAAGCTTGTACCTTGAATAAAACTTTGTTGGTCTTAAAGGTACCACTGGATTCTAAATTCGTTCTACTGCTTTAGACCAACGCAGCTGACCACCTGGATCTAAGTTTAGTTTAGGTGAGCGTAAGGTTATGCACATGCAGGGAGGGAAATTCCTGACTTATGCTGCTGGGAAGTGAACTGGCCAAGACTGAAAAGGAAAGAGATGAGGGTGTTGTAATGGATAGTTTGATGAAAATGTCAACTCAGTGTGTGGCAATGATGAAAAGGGCAATCTCCATGCTGAGGATTATCAGGAATGGGACTGAAAGTAAAGCAAGCCAAAATAGCCAATATTGTAATGCCCGTGTATAAATCTATGGTGTGGTCCCACTTGGAAGAACATAAGAACATAAGAGAAGCCAATGTTGGATCAGGCCAATGGCCCATCTAGTCCAACGCTCTGTGTCAC